AGTACCTATATATGTAATATCAAAGCAATTGCACTTGCGGTTTTTAACAAGAAGTCGAAAATATCACTTTTTACCAAAAATGACAAAAATATTCACCAAAATTAGAGAATTAAAGATATCATTACAAAATGAACAAATCTGAGAGAGGTCCACATGTAGTACCTATATATGTAATATCAAAGCAATTGCACTTGCGGTTTTTAACAAGAAGTCGAAAATATCACTTTTTACCAAAAATGACAAAAATATTCACCAAAATTAGAGAATTGAAGATATCAACATGAAATGAACAAACCTAAGAGAGGTCTACCCAAGGTACATATACACCAAGTATCAAAGCATTCAGGCTTGTAGTTTTCAAGAAGAAGTCGAAAAAGTAAAACATTGACACGGACGACGACGACGGACGACACCGGACAATCACTCATATGATAAGCTCCGCTCGACAAAGTCGACAGCGGAGCTAAAAATAAAGTTAAACTGGCCTAAATATGTAGAATTATTATTATTATTTTAAGGTACAATAAGAATTGCTACTGAAGTTATTATTAGATACAGTGTATCAACATTGCGTTGACTGCAATGCAAAGTCTGTTGTTGAAAACGCTGTATACTTGATTTATAGTTACCTTCTGCCACATTGCTGGAATGCCAGTGAATGAATAGTTTTACAGGTAACATTGTGTGGAAATACACCTTGAGCTTGTTCTTGCACGGACCTAAGGTAGATAATAATAAAGTTCTTATGATACACAAACTGATTTTATGAATAAACAAGTTTTGCATTATAGTTCTGTCAGTCGTTTTCCTGTGTGAGAATAGGGGAGGTGGCTGATTTCTAGCATTTTGATGAGCTAATGAATGCTTATGCAACAAAACTGGAACACGCAAGTTTCTAAGGTAACGGTGGAACTCAAAACTTGTCTATTACATGAACATTACTATTCATGATGTTTGATAGTGTTCATGAGAAGCATCACTATTCAATGAAAAACAATTCGTTACTGGTAACTCACTTGTTGTAGCAAACATAGAGAAAACTCTGATTGGGTCTTCTCTTCGTGTATTCTATTAAAGTTGTAGTCTTGCCAGTACCTGTGGAGTCAACAACAAATTGGTTTTACGGATATTTCATGAGATGTACATTAAGATACAAAATATTATTTATAATTCAAATTGACTTACCAGCAAATGCCATAATCTTAACAATGTCATTTTTGATGCAGTCATACTTGACGATTCTCGTCTGTTCATGTGTTAAACGTACTTTACCATGGAAGCCAGTGCTACAGATGACAATGAATGATTATTTGACGGACTCAAAAAATCATTAAAACCATAAGCAGATACATTTCAAAGACAGTCATTGTTGCATAAATAAATTAATAAACTGATCTGATCTAAACTAAATTCTGTGTACCATTAAAATCCTAATATAAACCACGGTTTATATTACAATGTATCAAATAAAAAATTTGGATCAACAGCTCAAGTTCGGTTTCTATTACGTACATATTGCAATCACTAACTGGGCGTGGTCATTTTTTTCCCACATCACTTGCACAAAACAAACATTACACCGTACAATCTTTTGAATATAAGCGTAACTCCAATTTAGATGTCAGGGAAGAGCGATAAGCGTCACGTCACACAAAAACTGTTCACAAAAAAAAAATACTCTGTATATTTAATGTAATATGCATTTATTTTTTTAATTTTCTTCGTAACAGAAAGTATATTCTGACAGGAGCTTCAAATAAAAACAAACATTAATGCATTGCTTAGTAGAAAATGATCATGGTACGAGTACAGTGACGCAATGCAGCCATGCTTCGGCTCACAAGTGAATAACTTACTTGTTTTCGAAGTGTTGAAATTGATGATTATTACTCAGTAGTGATTATAATAACGCACGAAAAATGAATTCGTTGAATTGTTATCAAATGCAAGTAAAATTCAACTTAGTTTCACCGTAAGTGAATTATTTTGGACACATGTAAACGATCGATGTGCTACGACATCCACCATGTAGTTTGAACACACACGAGACGTAATACTTGACTGAATAGGTCAGGTTGCTAATTAACCAATAAAAATGTTGGATGGTGCCCACGTGTTCAAATTACTTTAGTCATTTAAATATGTTAATGACAGGTCACCGACTTCATGGTGAACGAAACACGGGAGTGATTTACCGATAATGTAGTGCGATCTTTTGGCTTTGATTTCCATGGAAAAACTACATGAATTTTTTTTTAAATCAAGAAATTAGTTGTTTTCGAAAGATATACTGAGCATTGAAAAAGAATTTAACAGTTTTTCGGTGATAACAGCTCATTGTCGAAAACTTGCGACACATGGACGTATTCATAAGGAGTATTGACAAAAGTTGTTGCAAGAACAAAAGCAGTTTCACTGCATGTTTGACATCCTAACACTACTGAACAATAAAGAGGTGTGAATATTTTTAGGCACGTTGTCGAAACAAATGAATAGAATTAGGAACAATGTACCAGCTGGTTGAAACAAAGTCAGTCACGGTCTTGTTGAATTGGGGGTGCGATTAGTAATAGATACTTTTCATGTTTTCAATTTTTGTTGAGAACTCTCTAACACTGAAGCCGAAATCGGGGGTGCGGTTACTATTAGGTATGCGGTTTATAATAGGATTTTAAGATTAAATTTCGTCTCAACCTTTCTGCAGGCTCTATTGAAGTAAAAATGCACATGACCTAATAAGTGCCATATCTCACCCATATCTTAGAAGAGATTGTTGTCCGTTTGTACCCATACCAACGCTTTCGTTCCAATCAGATGGGGTAGATATCTTGGCATTCTCATGTAGATACAGAGCATAGAAAACTCTGTAATGAATTCTACAATGCAGAAATACAAAGAGCATGGCATGACGACTATTTGCATTGGTGAAAGCAGAGTGACAATATTTTTGAAGATCAAAAGTTTGAGAATTCAAGTCATGAAAAAATTGTATAAAAACTTACCCTCTGTTTATATTATGTATGCCATGTAAGGCAAAGAGAAAAGTGGCAATGCAGTAAAGACACTCAATAAGATCCATGGCCAGTGTAGTCGTTGTATTATGTAATAAACCATGTAATATTTGCTGTATGTCTTTCACCTTCTCTGACAGGATGACTAACATACCAATCAATGACCAGGGGCTCGGGTACTAATTTAATAAGGTAAAAAAAACACAAGTTACTAGGTATGACAAATATCGTAAAACATGTTACCATAATGATCTCCTCAACCTAGTACTGTAAAAGGATTAATTATTCACTGGG